ACCTGGCGTCCTGCTTCACCAACAAGGTGAGGGCGGGCGGGGAGCCGCCCCCTTTCCCCCCCAGCCTCGGAGGGGCCAGGGCAGGGCGAGGCGGAGGGAATGCGGGGCGCTGGGCAGTCGGTCCCCTGTAGTGGGAGTTGGGGGCTGCGCCCGAGGGAGCGAGGGCAGCGCTAGGACACATCAGGAGGAGGAGAAGAAGGAGGGATTGTGCCCTCTTCTTGCCCTGCCTTCCTCAGGGAGAGCAGGCGGAGGAGGGCTACCCCCGAGTGAGACCTTCCCCCCGGCACCTCAGCCCCCGGGCGCACCCCAGCGTGCACTCCAAGCTGAGAAATGGCATATTTTAGGAGAGTAAAGGGGTAACGTCATGGTATTCAAACGAATTAAATGTTAGTTTTAGAGCCAGAAATTACGCTGCTTTGAAAGCACTGATGAGGCTGAATATAGTTACTGCAACCACTGAAAGCACAGTGATTCCCCAAGAGATCTATTAACTGTTGTAACAACAATACTAAGTGTCCAAGGGAAAAATGTGATATGCTCAAATTGTTATAGCAGCAGTGAAACAAATGTTAACTTCCGCAGACCCTTTGACAGTTTAATTAATCTGCAAATTAAGGACGAGAAGTCTCTTTGCCACTGTGCAACTTAATTGCCCATTGGTATTGCTGAAATGTCGTAAGTAGAAGGAGAAGTAGGCTGATGATGGCCACATTATGGATAACGTTGCATAGTTTAAACATAGCCCAAAGTAGTTTTTTCTGCTCTGGAAGGAGGAGATAAAGTAACCACTCCTTGCTGTCCTATTTATCGGAGAGTGTGTCTGTGTTTCTGGTGCAGATTTCTGAAAGAAAAGATGTTTTTGAAGCAAACAGGGTATGGATTTTCTGAGGGAGAGTTAGAGAAAAGCAGCATTTCGGAGGTGAAAATGGAATCTCTTATGAGCATTGGCCACTGGTCTCTGTTCCAAGATACGCTTGCTGTTGAGGGCTTGCCATTAAGAGGTAGGCTGAAGCCCAGATGGGAAGCAGAGTTTGTAGGGAGAGATAATACACTTTGATCTGACAGACAGCGAGGAGCAGTGATTAGTTGAACAGAGAGGGGCTAGAAAAGCTGCCACATCACATCGTACATTGGAAAAGGTTTGATTACACTTGAGAGGAAATTGGAAGGACTTTGACATAGGGCCTCCATTTTCAACCCTGGATGGAGGTAATAAAGATAAAAATAACCAGAATATAGACGTTGTTGCAGGTGGTACGTAATCACAAGAGCGAGTACAAACATATGCAGGTTTATTGTCCTGATTTAAAACCCAGGTGGCAGTTCTGCCAAGTGTATGTGCAATATGCCTTGTTGTGAAACAAGATATATTGATGCCATCTTTTTAGTGACACTCTCCACACCTAAAAGCTGGATCTTGCAAGGTGCTCAGCACAGTTTCTTCTCTGTTGAAACCTTTCAGCTTCTCCTTTCACTGTTGACAGCTTCTGCTGGCTCCTGGAAGGGATGGCCGGTACCTTTCCGTTCCTCTGAAGAAGCTTCAGTCATTCTTCTCCTTTGCAGAAATAGTATTTATATCCTTCATTATAGGAAGTTGTTAGATCCTGATACACATATTGAAAGGCATATTTATTTCTGCCTCATATTTGCATATATACATAAGTAGTGGGAAAAGACACTAGAACCCATATGCACAGACCCTGACAAAACGTGCTAAAGCAGTAACACAGAGGTTTTGCTTCTTTACTCCCATGTATCACATCTCCAAAGGGCTTTATGGACTGCTTAATATTTTACACAAATAGCGTGTGAACAGAGTGTCAGTAAGGAGACAATTATTTTAAGACTGATTCTGCCAAAGGTTGCCTCTGTGGTACGATATGATTTTAGTTGACAAGTGCTTGTGTCTTTTTGTTCCTGTTAATCCTTTTCCCATTCAGTGTGATGCATGGAGTGCACTCAGAAAGAGCATTTCAGAAGGTAGTCTTCTCTCTGTTGTTCAGTGTGTCTACTCTATACCCCATGTGCTTTGGTGTATACTACCTTCCACTGGTAGTGACTGGGGCAGCATCCAGCAGTTCTGGCATTGGAAGAGAAATCATTGTTTTGTTTTTTTATTTTAGTAGAAACTGTTTGTGTTCTGTTGCTCGTGTGATTGTTAATGTTATAAGCTGTAGGTGTTTGATGTCCATTAATTTGGTATTTGTTTTCCAGTATGTCCTGTCTGTCCTGCAATTTACCTACCCTACCCTTTTTCAAGGGTAAGTATTGTTTTAAGAATACAGTTGTTTGAAAAATTACTTTAATCAGTAAACATCTTGCTGTTCCATGCTGAAGCTAACTTTATTACCCCTTGTCATTACTGTCTTTTGCTGTCTAGAGAACATACTTCATGAAGCTTTAGTAAAGCATTCATTAATGTGTCCTGGTTAATTTTTAAACACCACAACAGTGATGTAATTAAGATATATAGACTCTCTTGTTTCCCGTTTTTCTGAAAGTCTTATGCTTCAGCATAGAAAAGTAGCAATTATATTACAGCCTGTCATCTTTGGAAATGGCACTCATGGATTATGCGCAGTTGTGGTGTGTTCTTTCATCTTGTTAATGAAAACCAGCCTTAAACCCGTATTTAGGCATACACAAATACCATGTTGCTTATTTTCATGCTTAGCCTTTGTTGTAACTGCATCACAAGTCACTGTCATATCTTAATGATTATAGTGAGAAATGTAGCGTTTTGTCAAGTATTCATCGGTGCTGTTAATAATTTGTGAGATGTTTAGTGGAAGTCTGGCCTCTTAAGAGTTAAGACTTCCCCCATTTGTTCTTTTGAGATAATGGTAAAAATCTACAGACACCGGATATCTTTACTTCCTTTACTGATGCTTAGCATGGCTTATATTTTTGTCTGGCTTGCAACCTCAGGACTGCAGTCAGCTCTAGGAATTATTGCCGGAGGAATCTCCATTTTCTTTGCATGTATTCAGCTCTATTAAATATAAAGCTGTGTGTCAGTGAATGCTTTGACACACCCACACAGAGACTGTCTCCTGGACAAGGCTTTTATCATATGGGGAGAGGGTTTTGAGAAATGAGTGTAAAATGCACATGTTGTAAATCAACATGTAAGAAAGCATATTTCAGTGGCAAGCAACTTCTTTATGGTATCTGTGTTGCCACAGTTATTCCCTTTTTCTGTTATTTGGAAATGCTTCTTGGCATCTTAATATTTTTCCGTAAGTTCTGGTTTTTAAAAGTGACCTTTCCTTAGTAATTGTCTCAACTGCACTTTCATTTAGAGCTATGACAGATGAACAAAGGAGGAAAAGAATGTTATTCTCAGTTCATGCTATTATTGTTTATTGCCACTGGTTTTGTTCCCTATGTGAAATAAGAGTGTGTTGCATGGTGCTATGCATCTGGAACTATCACTAGCTTCAACTTCTGTCTTTAAAACCTGAGACAAGAGGAAATTCTTCACAGTAAAGTTGTTGGGAGTTCATCACTGGCTTGGATTAGAACATGGTCAAGCCTGCAGCAAACATCAAGGATACCTGGCTTTTAAGCTCTCGCATGCTCCTCATCTAAAAAAAGGTGAAGTGAGCTGTGATAGGAGCATTGAATATTCATCATACCTATGTGGACAATGAGCTCACTCTTCTCTGACACTGCCCAACTGTATGTAATATGGCATAGAGTGAATGTTTGTTTATTTGCATTATGTGTGAGATTTTGAATAATTGCTTAAACACATTGCAATGAATGGGAATAATAAATAAACGCACTTCTACACCTATCACAGATATTGATGTGATTTTATACTGTAATACAGTATCTGTGTTTGAACTATGCTAGATGTTGAAGGATTTTCACCTAAAAGGCATGAAACACCTCTCTGAAAACCACTGGTTTAAGGAAGAAACAAGCTAATAACTTACTTTAAAGATTTAAAAAATAATCGGTGTGCATCACTACTCATTTTAAGTTATCTGCAAGCATTTCTAAGGCCTCAAAAATTTCCATAATAGACTAAGGAATACCTTTATGGTAGGATAAGTATTTGAGGTTTGCATGCAAGGTTATCTAGGTGTAAAGTTTTCTCTAGAGGTTCTGAATCAGAGGCTCATGCAGCATAATGATGTTATTGTTGATGACACTTGACTTGGTGCTTGCTACACAAGATGTGTGTGTGGAGGGAAAGCAGTGTGAGTTTGAGGGATTTTGTAATCTAAGCTCATGGGAAGTCACAGAGCTAATGTTTGAAACTACTAGGACTGCACATGTCATTCTTGGGGCTTATTGCTTCAGTTGAAGTGACTCTTTGAATCCTGAAATAGTTTATTTGTTCTAACAATTATAGTTTGTGTATAAAAGATAGTAATCTCTTGTCACACATCTTCAGATCAAGATCATGGCTCTAACATCCCTATTATTATTGTAAACCTTGTGTGGGAAGATAAATGGTAAATTCAGTAACATGACTAAGGTAATTGTGGTAGATTGTAATTTACAAAACATTTGAAATGGGAGGTGGAAGCACCTGAGTATTATAAAATTTGGAGGAAATGAAGGCCCGCAAAAATGGAAGATTCAAAGGGGAATAGTGGCATCCTTGGTAACCTAGAGAAACAGCAAGTAATGAGTCATGGGTGTGCTGTGAGAAATTCTAAGGTCATGCTCTATGCGGGTAAAAAGAGCAGACAATTCAGAGGTGCTGTTTTGTTTTTATTTCAGGTGGCAGACATTAGTGGGTGGACTTCTGCTTCATGTCTCCTGGAAGCTGGGCTGGGTGGAGATAAACTTGTGTTCAAGGTACTGTGGGGTTTTCAGTGTCTGATACATACTTATTTTCTGTAGCTGGCTTATGACATAGTTAAGTTGGTTGTGGAAGTTACTAACTTGCTAAAAAGTAGGGGTGTGTGTTCTGCTTCACAGATGTAGGAGAGATCTTGTGTTTTAGTCCAATGAATGTTCAATGACATGCACCTCAACTGATTACTACTGTAAAGTGGATTCAATTTAACTTTGGTAAGACAGTGAAAAAAGCATAGCCATTACTGAAAACTACAAACATAACTTATCCAACCGTCTGTCCACATCTCTTCCCTGGATTATTTATGGTACTCTAAGAGAAACCTTGGTAACGTTGGTTAAGAGCACACCCTTCCCCAAAAACCTCAGTGCAGTGAAGTCCTTAAATGGTCTGCCTTTTTCTCTAAGAGCTGTCCCCCATAAATGGGAATAATTCACCCTTGCCTAACTCTAGCATTTATGACCACACAGCAAGAGCAGCTGTGTTGCAGTACAGGACTGATATAATAATCAATCTCCAAATTAAAAAGTGCTTTAGAGACAAAGATCATCTGCTTGAACTGTGACGGCAACTCAGAAGAGTTGTCCAGCATACTGTACTCTGCTCAGGTGGATCCCTTCTGCAGTACAGAATGTGGTGATCTTTTTCATTCTGCAAAAATGGTAGAATTTAGGAGATGTATGCCCACAGCAATTGTTGAATCTCCATCTCTGGAGATATTAGAAACTTTACTGGACAATGACCTGAGTAATGTGACTTGCCTCTGAAGCTGGGGTGGGGATTGGACTAGACAACTGCCAGGGTTCCCTTCTAATGTAACTTTTTTCAGTAATTCTGTGTTATCAACTGATGAGTTTTCTGTTTGGGATTCAGACAGTTGGCTTGCAAAACTCAATCTCCTATTTTGTGATGAAATCTACATGTATTTCAGAAGAACCAGGCTATATTCCGTTTTCATGTTCATGCAAGTGACTACATCACCACTGAAACTTAAGTGAAGTTGTAAATACAAACAGAATCTTACTTCTTATCTTTTACCTTCGATGCAGATAAAATGAGGATATTGGTGTAAAAGCTGCTAGTGATATCAATAGAGTCAAGATTAGGGTCCAACTCTTGCTTTAGTGACAGTTATTGAGCTACATATTGCTATCAAATGTATATTGTTTATGCAGATTTTGCCTTCAATAGAACAGTCTAAAAGAATATGGCCATCAATAATGTCCTTTCTAGTTCAACTTTTCATGACTATTTTTGCTTTAAACTATGAAATTAAAGAAGTTAGAAGTTGAATCTCTTTTTTTAGATTGAAAAAAATATTTTATTTTTTTCGAAACTTGGAAGACGTTGAAGAAAATACTGTAAAAGAAAAATTTCTTGCCTTTGAGGAGGGTGTTTTTATCTAAGAAAAGTTTTTGTGAAGAATTAGTTCGTGTTTTGACAATGGAGACTTCAGGCCACTAGATGTCAGCACACTGTAGGAAAAGTGATTAAAATACCTCTTGAGAAACCTCTTCACTAGTTTAGCCAATACAGAATTCCTGTTCTAGAACAGAGTGAATGAAATTACCAGAATTAATTGACATGTTTTGGCTATAATTCAGCCAACTACTTAATAATGAGTTTAAACGTGTCTTTATTTAGAAGAATTAGGATCATGCTTTAATGTTTTGCTGAACTGGACTTGTAGCATATATCTGCAGTTTAAAAAGAAAAAAAACAACCACCAAAACCCAACAACCAAACCCCCTAAAAATCAACTAAACAATAAAATGTCCAACAAACAAGCAAACATAATGTGTCAAAGCTTCTGTTTATGACTTCTTCTCAACTCCTTTCCCTTCCAAAGGTGATTTTTCTTAGTACTACCACTGGGATAATAATGTTTCCACCACACCCACCCACTCCCCTTACTGAATATTGGTCTCTGAATCTATCTGTTCATTTGCGTTTTTGTGGAGTTTTTTATGTGTAGTATACTTAATGATATCTGGTCCCCAGTCTTGTCACTCTTCAAATAAGAAACTGTCACCCATTTATTTATTTCCACAAAGTCTGAGTATTTCTGTCATGTGGACTGATCTCATATGCTTTTTGAGCCAGTTTAGGTTATCTCAGTGTCTCAGCAGAATTATTTTACTACCTAAAGATCATCACCCTTTGTCTAAAGCCTGGAATACCAGCTTCACGATAAAAACCAAATTAAAACATACTACTTAGAGTAATTTCTCTTAGGTCTTGTGGATATCCTGTTTTTCATCTGATTTCCCCTGGTCGTCCCAGCTGTAAGGGACTCTGTCACCATCATTGTTGCTTCTAAAGGCTGAATAATGACTGTCTGCAAAACTTGTGTCCAAAACAAAGGCTCTGTGGAGCTTAGAGGAATATATGTAGCATCTGCATAATGCTTCCAGTGCCACAATCTGCTGCCCTAATCCTTGTAAGGCACTTTAGTCCTATGTTCTGTTTGGCATTTCTTGTAGTGCTGGATTTTCCCCACAGCTAAGCAGCAGCTCAGAGCCTTGCTTGAACCATGTCTCTAAAGTGTGGTTTAGGGGACCCTATCCACTGACTTTAGTGGCCTTTGACTCTAACCCTACAACCACAGCTTGTAAGTTCTTCTATGTTACTGAGCTTTTTTGTTTTGCATGTACATTGCTGTATTGCCAACATAAGAAGATACTAATTGGTTTACATACAAAGACAGATTGTTGGTGCTGACACACTACATCAAACATCCATGCATTCTTTTTCAGTCCTTAAATTCCCAGTTGGCAGCATAAAATTCTACCCTTACATCATGGAAAAAGCATCTGAAATCCTTTTCCATGACACTTCACAATATTGCATTGGAGATGAAGACGTATTTGGGATTCCTAGAATTTAGTGGTTGGGAACATGAAAGAGTGATATTTTTATGTTCTAAATGAAAATTTGGCTTTCAGCATGTATTCCTTTCATCTTCCCAGCCCTTCTTCTTCCATTTGTGGAAGTTCCAATAAGGTGTGAGTATTCTGTTGGTGTCTGATCTGAACTTGCTGGTAATGAGGTATGACAGTTTTAGATCCTGGTTTTGGTGAAATTCCAGTTGAAGTCAATAACCTTAAAAGGAACAGTGTTTTTATAAAAAATTATGGTGGCTACCCAAAAAAAACCCAGAACAAATATTTATGCCACTGAAAGTATCTAAAGATTACTCTATTTTTGTGACCCTGGCTTTTTGATCAAGTATCTTAGAAAATTATTTATTAAAAAGAAAAAGGAAATGTGGTATTTAGTTTTTTCCTTTTCTGTGTTAACATTAATTTTTGGGCATGTTTTATCGTCATCCAGACTGTTCTGTTTTCATTATTTAGTGGTCTGTTTTTCTTGCATTCATGAAGTGCGGTAGTGCAGCAGCACCTATAGTTACATTTTAAGTCTTATACTAGTTGGAAGTGTAATCCAAATTAAGGAATTACAAAGCAGTTTGGTTTCATTTTGAGAACCAGTATTATTCTCTAATGTTTTCTTGACTTTAGTTTAAAGCTTGGGAAGAATGAATAGAGGTAGCAGTGTCTTCAGTCCTGGGAAGCCTTTAGATGAGGCCTTTAGATCACTGCTACTCCTTTCCTCCGTTGCTCAAAATCTTACATTATTCTGTCTGAAATTTACCACCTACCTGATCCCTTTTTCCCCTTAAGTATCAAGATCAAAAAAGGAGAAGTGCAAATTCTGAAGCTCCTTCTCAGAACTGAAAGCTGGCCCTGCTGCAGTAACTATGGATAAAAAAGATAACAATAATAATCAGATCAATGTGATGACTTCATCCCTCCATTCATTGTCAAACTGCCTCTAGGAGTTTGGCTTACTTGCAGGAGTATCATTAGGAAATCTCAAGAGATATGCTCCCACAGAGACAACCTGATCTTTAGGAAGAATCTCTTTTTAAATCTGGCTGAGAAATGAATGTGTGGGTGGGCAAGTGTATTTCTATATAGTGAAAATGTGTGCTGTCTGTGCAAGTGCACCATTTTATCCCTTCATTTGTCAGTTCTTCTTCCTTTTACAGCACATCAAGGAAATTAGTTGAAATTTCTGTCGCTTAAAACCAGTAGGAATAATTGCTATGAAACAAACAATTTCACAGGGAGAGAAGCCAGAGAAAGAGTAAAAGAAAATATATCTGCAAATAGTTCCTATCCGGTGTTAGATGAAGTGATTCATTTCTCTCTCAGGATCCTTTAGTAAGTGGGAGGAATACTGAACAATCAGATGATGAATTTAGTATGTGCATCTTTGAAATTTATGTACATATGTATGTATTAGTATATTCCTTGCAAGCAACTGTTGCTGACTTTATGTAAACATAATGTGTGAAGTAATGAGATTTTAATTGTTTCCACAGGTCTGAAATCCTGTCGTGGCTTCCTGCTTCAGTACTTTTTGTGGGCATTATTTATGCTGGTTCTAGGGCACTGTCTAGATTGGTAAGAAACACACAAGTAGAAGTCAGTTCTTTATTACTTCTAATTTATGAGCAAAGAACATTCCCTTTATACAAGGTTTTTAACGCTGTTCCTGGGCTGGGGGGAAAGAAGCGGAAAGGGGTTTAAGTAACACATACGCTGTTAATGGTGCTAGAGCAGTGATCCCATCCTACCAAGTGCAGAGCAGTATCAAAAACCTCCTCTGTGACAGTTCAAAGCACTCAGCATCTCTCGAGAGTACTTGGTGTTTTGCAGAGTAGATCAGCCACTGATCTGAATTGTGCAAGTAGGGAAGAAGCTGAAGAAGTTACTAGCTGTAACTTTACAAAAGGGGGAATGGGGCTGTGGGATCTGGAGGAAATCCTTTCAGAAAGACAAAGACCACTTCAGTGATTTTGATGCTTTACAGGATTTGAAAAAATAAATTAAAAGTTCAAAATGTATTATGGGAAGGGTTAGATGAATCAGTTTTATGATCCATTTGAATCACAGTAACCTACTAAATGTTTAGTGGATATCAAATCTGCTTTCATTAAAGTTGAATGCTTTTTACTTAAATTATATAGTCTTTTGTGGGGAAAAAAAATGATGACATGCATTTTTGAAAACCAGCCATGTTTTAGTGCTGTTATGCAGTCTGCAAGGCCAGATTCTGCACTAGTTCCCTTCTGCATTCTGTCAATGCATCTTAATCTAATTCCAGAGCCAGCTTGCTCTTGGCAGCTCCTAAACCCCAAGGAGGATCAAAAGGGAATTTTTGCCAACATTTTGTTTGTAGTGATCCCTTGAACTTCCCAGTGGAGAGATAGGGCAGAAAAGGACAGGTCTCTGTCCTCACAAGCAAGTTTGGAGGCCTCATCTTGGACCCAAGTGATCTTCAGAAATCACAGGCATATGCTCAGAAGCTCCATGCCTCCAGATTAGCTCTGCCTCAGGGTGATTGCATTTACTTCCTCTTGGTTCCTTGTCAAAGCAAGTTCCATTGCGCTTCTCTGGTATAAACTGAGCAAAGATTCTTAAGAAGAACCCTGCCTGGAAACAGCAATAAAGCCTTAGCAGCAGCATCTTTTCTGCCTGCTCACCTGGGAGGTGGAGGAGGGATGAGTCACTTCCTCTCTGCTATTTCTTCTTACTTCCTAGTCATCCCTTAAGTTACCTGTTTCCCTCCTGTCCCTGCTCTGGTCGTTCAAGAGTGAGATGCCCTGGAGTGGCAGAGGGGCTGTGAATGGTTTTGACTTAGATCCCAAACCTTTCTTAAGGAGGTTATATCCCAATCCTTTTTTAAGGAGCATTTTGCATTTCTGAATGGCTTTTTGTTGTACATGAGTAGGGATTTAGAGGCCTAATTCTGTGGCCGTTTTAGGAGGAAAGACGAAAGCATAAGTAGATTTAGGCCATAGTTAATGCCTTGTACTGGGGCTAAATTCAGTCCTGCAGAGAGGCTTTAATTACAGTAACTTTATGTACAGCAGTTTTGTGACAGTGAGAAGGAATATGGACTCTCCCAGTTTTGCACCTAAATTGGCCCACCTCAGCAGCATATCTGAATTAAGTGGGTTTATTGCTAAAGCAGAAATTACGTGTACTTTTTTGATGGAACCATGGAGGCCCACCTTCAAACATTCCTGTATACTGGCAGGGCTACAATCTTAATCTCTGTTTGTGCCTCCCTGTAGAGGTGCTGGCAGTCTCCCCTGCACAGGAGTTCAGGGCTGGAACTGGCAGAGGAGTGCTTAGCTCCGGACTGTGATGCACTAACAAAAGTAAGCCGAGCTGTGACGGGAGGTTTGTACTGACTTTATTCTCCCTGCCTGCCCAACCAGTAAACCTTTCTTTCTGTAAGCATTAAGCCCACTCACAAATTTAAGAAATACTCACATCAAAGGCAACAGGCATATGGAGAAGGTTAACTGGGCTAGGCAAACTGGAGCCATTGTTGGCTCCAAAACACATTTGGAAGAGCCAAAAGCAGGGGAGAGGAAAATAAAACCCAACAAATTGGCTTCGCAAAAGGAAGAATGTAAATTCTGCTGTCAGCTTTCCTTGGGTATAGTTATTTCTTGTATTTCCTATTATTGTATCAGGCTTAGGATGCTCATGTTAGATACTTCTGGGTTTATGTTTTTAGTCATCCAGCAACAGGGTTGGGAATTGGTTTTCAGAACCAGTGAAGCTGGGGCTGACAACTTCATGCCAGCTGTGTTTGTGTGATTTCCATTCCTTGCTAATTTAGAGGTGTTAGAAGTTATCTTGGTGCAACTGTTGTGTTTATGGATACACCCCAGTTGTCATTGTGACTTAAAATGTTTAATTACTGGTACTGATCTGGCTTTATGGAAAGAAAGGAAAAATCCAGAAAATACAGATTTCTGGATGCAAAGCCAAATTTAAGAGGTATTTGCTGCTTATACCACCTGAAAAGGCATGAACATCACTGAGAAATTAACTCATTCTCTACTCATTTAATTTAAATACTGTACACAAGTGGGGAAATACTGCTTCCTAAAACTGCCTTAGTCTTTAGATTATCTCATCGGAGCAGAGAATTGCTTGTTTCAACTGTTTCAGAGACCATGGATCTGATTTAGAGGAAGTATTATGAACCAGTAATTCTGGTTGGGTTTGCCTGGGGCAATGGGTGTTTGATTCATTATTGTTATCATTGGGGTTTGTTTCTTAATGATTTCATGTTGGGATGATGTCCAGATACCTCAGTGGGTAGAATTTCGACATCACTTGTGTATGAACTATTATATTTCTACCCTGATTTTGGGCAGCTCTCCTTAGCAGTAACTGAAAGCAATCACCTAAAATCATCTTGCCCATAATTCTGTTGCTAGGAGTCACACTGTATTCTTAGGAGCAGTTGACAGAGATAGGAAAACTAATGAGAACCATTTACTGTGGAGGCTGCAGATATTTGAACAGAGAAGCAAAACTAGAGGCAGAAACCTAGAGCAAATTTCACCGAGGTAGTTGCATACAAACAGACTGACTGACCATTCAGAAGTGGGAGAAGCAGCAAGCAGGGTCTGCGTTTAAAGATGCCTGTGCCATGTAATAGTGATTGGAATGGGTCTAAGTCCCTTTTAGGAGATGTGGTGTGGGTTTACAGCTCAAAAAATCAAAACAAACATGAAAACTACAAGCATGTGGGACAGCTGTCCCTTAGAGGAGTGCCTATTACTGTGTGTGTGGCTGTTGTGGGTTGATTTGGGCATTTTTCTTCTCTCCCAATGGCAGCCAATCCCGGTGTTCCTCACTGTCCACAACGCGGCAGAAGTTATAACCTATGGGTTCCAGAAGTTTGTGCAGAAAGAGGTAACTGATCTATTAATTGGCACATTCAAGGTACCCCCTGTGATATAAGTGCCATATAACAACACACCTGATTTCTTTTAATATGGGCATTAGCGCTATATGCTTTTCTAGTCGTGCAGTGATAGCTAGTCATTAATGAGACCCAGAGAGTGCTTTGGTCTTGGCAAGTATTCCTTTTGATGTTTTCTTTTCCTCTTTAGTTGATCAAACTCTGCAAATGCATATTACCAGTTTGATCTGCATTTTTAAGTCTGTCTTGGTTCTGCTTGTTTTGCCCTTTTGAAAATCAATATCGCCTCTCTTTCATGCTCCACATAAGATTCTCTGTTTGAGCTGCAAGGGAGGACACCTGGGTCCTTAGATCTAACCAGTATAATATATCTAGTGTGTTGTATGATTATAGATAGATCACATCTCCACATGAAATGCAGGAATAACAGTGCATTTCTGGATTTTTGAATGCTTCAGAATCTGTCCCAAGTCTTAAATCTGTTTTAAAATTACGAGAATAATTCCTGCACACTGTAGTAAGAGCTGGGTTTCTTTCTCACAAACTGCAGTGGGAATCCTTCTGTTTTTTAGGCTATGAAATGCTTTTCTAATTGACCAGAGAGCTGCTGTGTGAGGTAGCTCTGAGACGTCATTAATCACAAAGTCATTTCTGCAGTGGCCTCTGGCTTGCTGTGGAAGGGATCTTCCATTCATTACATCTGTTGTGTATATGAAAGACAAATAAATGGCCCATGGTTGCTACTTCTAACAAACTGAAGAGGTCACTAAGGTTATGCCTAAGGGACATAGTAGTGTGTACCTTGGCATGTCTGTATGTCATTGTCCTCTGATTATTATCCCTGACAAAGTGTTTCGTATTTTCCTTCTAGCTTACATGCTTATGACTCCTCTTTTTGAAAACAAAAGCACTATGGACAAGGATAATGCAAACACAGATTGTGCTAGGAAGCTTCTGGGAAATAATTTTGGTCCAAAGGACTGGGAAACTCTCAGGAGTTTAGACCTGTGGTTGTACCTAATAAATGAAGAATACTCAATATTAGAGTACGTAAAATATACAATTTTGGTATAATTCAAGTTAAGTTTGAGGACCAAGTGTAAAGTCATGTCTGATTTTAGGTTTACCTGCTGGTAAGTAATCTGAAAATATAAATCAAGTTGAAGTAGGCTAATCTGTAATCCTGGTTCTTCTTTTCAAATTAAATTTGCCAAGCAGCACTCAAATGTAATGCACTGTTGAATGTTGCTCACAGGATTTTTAATGTGTTTGGTGCAGTTAGATCAGCTGTCATCATTTTCCGGGTTTTGGAAGACGAAAACATTATTTCACCATTTTTATTTTTAAATTTTAATTTTTTGTTCATACTTTCTTTTTTACAGCAGACCTCTCATCTGAAAGTCTGTAGGTAAGCTTTTAAAACTGCTCAGGTTCAGATTCAGACTTGTTTCAGCTCCAGCTTCTGTATTTGCTTCAGATAATGGCACACCAAAACAATGAAGAATGAAAGGCACATTCCCGTGGGCGGTGAGCCTAAATTGCAACATTGGAATAATTAAATAGTTTAAAAATGCATTTTCCTTTACTTTTTCTTTTTCTTTTTTATTTTTTTTTAACCACTGCTTAAATAGATACCTATTTTTTCTCCTTGTAAAAATAAAAAGCCAGGAGGCCAGTCTTCCTGAATAACAAAGCCGTGCTTGTAGGAATGTTTTTGGAAAGGAGATGGAAACCAGGCTTGGCGTTCCACTGGGTAATCTTAAACAGCAAGACAAAGATAATTAATGTGATAGAAAATAACTAAAAATGCCTCTCCTGAGAAAGAAAAAGTAAGTGATATCTAGTTCTGCTAGAATCATTCATATAAAAGTACACAAGCTACCAGCCCTCATTGGCCCTAGTTGTTTTGGCTTCAAAAAGGAGATAGAATGGGACAAAGGGAAGTCAGCCAGTCATGTATTAGAAGTTTCATTCTGCCCTCCCCTCATGCCCTTGAAGAATGCATATTTGCTGTCCTGCGCATTCTGTAATCTTCTGGCTGTACTTAGAGTGGATAATGTTGGGTTACTATTTAGTGTACTTAGAGGCACCATCTTCCTAATTTCTTCCGGTTGTTTCCGTTATATGACTTATCGTGGCCCTGTTTTCACCACTGGATTATTCTCAAGGATGCCACGTTTTTTATCATCTTTATTCTGTATTTTCCCATGCCCCTGGAGAGCAGGAAAATAAGCTGCAAAAGCAAATGTTTGTTATTAGTAAAAGTAGCAGTCCACAGAAATTCCACATCAGAGTATTCAGTGTAGCTTGTAGAAATACTTACTCAGTCCCAGGTTAAGAATTTACTTACTCTGAGTCAGAGGACTAGAGGAGGACTGGTACTGTCCTTAATCCATTTGTAGTGTAATCCTACTCACTCCCAGTTTGTTCTGTGTTGTGGAGTTGCATCGTAACTTTTAATGGAGTCACCTGTACTGGAGTTACTGTAATAGGCAATTCACCTTAATGAAAAAACTTTTGGGTAGCTGTTCACAGCCAGAAATTTGTTGATTTTGGCTTTCTGAAGCAACCTAAGGAAGCCAGATGGCAAATGAAGAATAATATTCTCTGCCAAAAAGCTTGTTTTCATCACTGCTGAGTTGATTTATGCTGCTTTTCACACAAGTTTGCTGTATGAGTTAGAAGAGTGAATGATGTAAAACTTAATTTTGGTGGCAGAAATTACTTTTAAAATATGGAATAAAAATTAAACAAATGAAATGTCAGTGTAAAATTGAGTGGAATTGCCTATACTTTGCTGAGAGTACAAATCCAGGTTACAAGAGTTTGGTCCTGTTTATTTTTTCCCCACAGTGTGCTGTTCCTCCTGGTAGCAGCAGTGTGCCTTCCTTTATGTGACACACAGGTGAGCTCTGCTTTGTAAAGCAGCTCAAGTTAGACCTTGATGTTTCTCATCTTGTTAGTGTATGAGGGATGTAGCTTTAACTTGTAAGCTGGGGTGGGATTCTTGTGAAGGATCTGAAAATGTTGCCTACTGCTGTGTTGTAGTCTTGCTAGTATTAATGTGATTGCATCATGATGAAACCTCTGAGCAGACATACAACTCATTGGTGAAGATGATCGCTGGGGAAACCATGGTTTAACTTCTTATAGGGCTTAGAGCTAATGACTTAGGTTTGAATTAATTGCACATACAATGTCAGGTGAATTCCTCTCAAAAATGTTTATTTTTCCCCATTGATGAGGAGGGCCTACGCTGCTCAGAGACTGGTATCTGTGTAAAGCACTCTTTTGGATACTCTGTGGTTAGTTGGAGCCTCAGGGAGAGAGATTGTTAAGCTGCCGTATGGGCTGAGAAGGAAAAGGAGAGGAGAAGAAAAACCTTAGTGATGCTCCTATGATCCTCTTGTCCCTCCCTGACTGCCAGGACAAGACTGAACAGACTGAGATCTATATACCCAGTTTGTTTAAAATGGTGTACATCTCTGAAAGAAATAGGGCTGTTTTCACCAAGACTAGCTCAGAGCCTGGATAGCAGGAGTATGCCACATTTCTTAAGTGGGACAGGAAAAAATTTAGTCTTCCTAGCCTTTTGCCATCTTTTCTCTCTTTGTAGCATAGCTCCCACTCACTGTACTTGCTTTGTGAAGCTGACTGCAGGGAAATAGCAATAAGTATGTTTACAGGAATGTGCTTTTATTTATGTAGATGTTCTCTATTGCAGTTTGATCCGAATGGTTATTTATGGGCCCTAATTCACTTGATCTGTGTTGGTAAGTGATTTCTTTCAGAAAAGGAATTAGAAAGACTGAATGTGTTGGAGAAATCAGCTTTATTATAAAGTTACTGATAATTAAAGTTCTTGATGTAAGACACACTTGGAAAGGATGAAGAAACTCAGTAAATATAAGAAAGTGCATTCCTTTTATATCTTTTACGTTGAAAACAACAACAAAATAAACTCAATACTGCAGTCAGTTAACATTGAATGAGAAAATGTACATACAATTTTAATAAGCACAGAGCTTTTCTGGGAGTTTTTGATAGTTGCCTACTAAGAGACGCTTCTTTCTGAGGGGAGAAGAAACATGAAAAAAGAAAAACCCAAGCAAGAACTTGTAGTTGGAGCTTTATTGCACACACTTATTTTATTTAAAAACTGACAGAACTATTCTAAAATACCATGGATTATGCTCCCAGAGGAAGGATGTTGAAATGTTGGGATTTTTTTATGCAATCATGTGCATTTTAAAAAAATTTTAACAATGAGTTGCATAACCTGTCAGGTTTTCTTTTGTCTATTTCAGACTAAACATTGATTTGGATAATTCTTCCCTGAAAAGCTAGAAACAGACAGACCCAGAAAATCTGAAGAAAACAAGAGTAGTAATTTTTAACTAGGAGATTTGTGTCTTTTGGAGCATTAGGCTGGATAATAAGGGACTTCTGTTTGGTTCTTAGCTGTCCTATAGACTTAGTGAGTGACTCATTCATATGTTAAGTCTTGTCTGCAAATTAGAGAAGATTCCTTCTTTATTCTGTCTATTCATACTGTAAATTTTTCAGGGCATAGGTAATGTATTTATATGTATTCGTGTCTAGGGAGGTCTAGAGATCTCATTCTAAAATGTTGTTAACATACAAATAAGAAATAGGGGGGGTTTTGTTGGTTTTTTTTTTTCTTTTCCTTTAGGAAATGTTATATGTAAACAGTTGCTCTTAGATAAAACAAAAAGCTAAGAATTTTTCACTTCAAATACTTGTTTGCTGTAACAAGTGATGTTATTGTTTTCTCAAAGCCAAAAGGTCTCATTTGTAAAACAGTGCTAGGCCATGGAGGTGGAAAACTGCTTAGAGAGTCTTCAGGAGGCCCCTTCTGTGTGCTTGAAGCATGTAGGAAGTGCCAACATAATGTTTATGCTCAAAATATAGCTTATTTCCATTTCTCTTGTTTTGGAGAGGAAGTTGTTGATACAGCCATTGGGGGGTTTTGTGTAATTAGATTTCCTATCAACTGACACAGAATAAAGATGCTGCAAGAAAGGGTAAACGAATTAATTCATTGCACAGTTAATCAAGACAGAGCATTAGAGACAGGACATGTGTTCTACCCTTCAGCTTGTCTAACGGACACAATTGAGGACATCTATTACATAGTGTTCTACTGAATTTGCTTTTCGTTTTCTGTTTTTCTTTGTGAATAAACAAACAAACAAACAAACAAAGCCTTGAAGAAGGGGTCTGAAAAAAAACCATCAGAGCTTGAAGCCGTATTGTTCCTTTCTCGAGTGCTAAGGCTTTTCCCAGTATAGAAATGGGAGCTAACCAAAGGTGGGTAGGTCAAGAATGTACCCAGAAATGGTGTGGGCTGAAGAAACCGCTCTGTGACACTTTTCTGTATGTATTCATATACGCGCACAGAGCTGAGAGTTTTCTTCAGAACTAGAAGAAACGTATATCACGATAGTACTCAGAGATTATAATGCTTCGAAAACCATTAATTTGAAGAGATAGGTTCGTTTTACTCATGGTTTAGGTATCCTTTGTTCCATGTTTCTAGACTGTAATTTAGGGGGGTTCCGCATATGCCAGTATCATGGCCAAACAAGAATGGTTTGTCAGTGATTGCATGTTACAGCAGTTACACGTATCTTTTCAATTACAGGGGCTTACAAAGTATTTCACAAGTTGTGGAAACCTAGCTCTTTAAGGTAATGTGTTTTCATGTTCTTTTAAAAAGAAAGAGATTGTTATCAAAGAGGGTTAGAGACACATCTGTGTAGCAGTCCAGTAAACTGTAGGAATCTTTGTGTTATCAGTGTGAGCTGAGCCACTCTTGGTTAATCATTAATGAGTTCTCTTGCAAGAGGAGCCTTATTTATTGTTGGTAACAATAGCATGTGGTTATTGATAGTCGTATGCCTAACTCAAACACTGAATTAGTTTTAAACAGTGTTATCAAAGGGTGATGACTCACTTCTGGAAGAACAACCCCTAGTTACTGGCACAGGCATTAAAAGGAAATGTTAGTTTGTGTCAGCCTTGAAAGCTGCATGGTTTGAATCTGTCAGTATCTCCCTTTGCCACACAGTCTCAAAAGCGTTTAGCAGCTGGTGACTTCCCACAGGACTGGAATGGCTGAGTACCTTAAAAACCCTACACTAATCCCGTGTGCATGTTAGATAAGCAGCAAGACAATAGTTTTGAAAGCAGGTGACATTACATGTTTACAGTGTCTGTCATCTGCAGTTGTCTGCATAAAAGGAGATGGGTATGTTACCACTGCATGTGTACATAATACACAAATGTGTATAAAATATGGATAAGCTCATTTGTTTCAAGACCATTTTCCATCTCTGATTAAAAGGTCTGAATTTTAGTCAGTCTCACTTTATCTTCACTTTAAATGAGACTCCCAGTGACATAGTAACAATAGAAACAATGTGCAAATGATGTGTAAATTAATATGTAATTAATGTGTCAAGTAATACAATTCATATATTGCTAATACAATGTAAATAGTTTATTGTTACAATGTATATGATATGTTAGTATTACCTAATTATAATGTGTCATGTAATATTATCTAATGTAATACTACAGTATTATAATACTATTTAATATACTGATCTCTTACACCAAATGAACTGCGTTACTAAAAGAACTCCTTTTTTTCTTTCTTTCCTCTCCCAGTGATCTGGACCAACAGTACATCAACTATGTATTCAGGTAAAATGAATAAGTCTTTGATACACCATAGCTGGTTTTATGTGGTATGTGTTTTCCTTTTCAACTATGGCTTGTTTACAATACACATAGCTACCACTACTTAAATGTATGTATTTAGCAGGATATTCACTGAAAGAAAGTGCTAAGCTGAACAGTTTAGCAGCTGAATTATTTTGGCTCAGGTTATAGGTGCACATGCCAGTATACACCTGGGGAGGTAACGAGGTGTTAATTATGAATTTTTTAATCACCATGTACACAAGTGATCAATCACTTCCAGTAATAATATTTACAGAGTAACTCCTTGGCAATACCCCACTTCAGAAAATAAAAATTGTACAAAATTGCCAGAAGGAGAGGGAGTGATTGTATACAAAGTAAAACGTGCAAAGAACATGAGCAGTAAGTGATTGTTCAAAGTGCTGTTAGTGGGATTGAGTAATTCAGACTTTCAGTTGGTTTTCTGATTTGGAGATACAAAAATGGCTTGTTATTTTGTAGTTAGTGAAAGAGCCTGAGTCACTGACCAGACTTCCCTGTGGGTTTTTTATATATAAAAAAGAGTCAGTCTTTCCTCAAAGAGCCATATAAGCCAGAACATTTGGTGTGCATTGGCTTCTGCTGGATTTTTGTGAGTCTTTATTAAGAGTCTCCTCCATCCATAATCACATCTTGTATATGTTGACTTCTTTTCTTGCAATGGTAGCTAAAGTTGTATGGGAACACTATGGAGTACAGATAGTAAGTTCTAGGAGATGATAGTCAAAAAGAATGAGAGAGAGAACAGAGGCTGGGAATAAGCATAACGAAAGTGATTTTGTGTTTGCCATTTGATTGGATGGATGTGTGCTCTTGTCTGATCATGTTAAAGGAACACAGCAGGGACACCAGTGTAGGACAGTTACTTCATTCAATTCGCATTTACCTTCTGAGTATCAACATGATAATACTGTGTATCTCCATCTGTCTTGGTTCAATCAAATCATGCAGGCCTCTGATTTTGCATTTGTATGATTCCAGTGTCTATTCACCAGGTTCCATGTGTTGACAGTATCTGAATACCAGTTTGCTTGAAGTAGGCTCTTGTTTAAGTCGGTTGTTGTTTTCCATCTACTATGAAATGAAAGCAAATCAATTTTACTCAAAGAAGGTAGTTATGTTTGCTGAAACTGTTCTGAAGAATTAGTCATGGAACTTGCAAATATGTTGCTGTGTGCAAAAATAACCCATGAAGTTTTGAATGATCTGTAGCTATTTGTTTCATGTTGAATCATGAAACAAGCAGTAAAATCAATTGATTTTTCATTTGGCACCTGCCTGGCTATGGCTCTCAGTGGTCATTTTAGTTTAAAACAGGGCCTGAACCTTTACATTCATATTTTCACTAAAGGTCTTAATTTTGCAGCTTTGATTGAAAAGTTAGGGCTGGTTTCCTGCTCTATTAGTTGGTAGTAGCCCGTGTCCGTGAAGTTGTGTCCAGCAGAGAGCAGGAGTTCCACATTACATGGCAAGTGTGGTTATTGATTTAGAGGCTTTTGAAAGAGAGAAATTTCTTGTTAAGGAACTGTGAGGCACAGGGATATGTATTTTAAAAACAAAAAACCAACAATGGAATTGTGCAAATTGGAAGATGGCTTTTTTTAGCATCTGCTTAAAAGCAAAAATGTGTTATCAAAGCTTACAAACATTTTTATCATTAAGGGGCTTGAAGGTCAGTGTAGCTTCTAAGATGATGGTGCAAAGCAATAGCTGGAAAACAGATGGCTTAGAGGAGGTAGAAGGCAGGATATGTATTTGTTTGGCTTGGGTATGTGTATGTATCTATAGATGTATTTCTGTATATACTTCTATGTATTAGAGGAGCTCTTAGTCCATAGCATTTGGATCTTGTCTAGGGAAAACAAATAGTGCCATGGGCAATGGAATAAGTGACATCTGATTTCTTTCAGAGTTTTGTTTTGTCCTAATAGCTGATGATGTTTGAGAGGGCATGAAATTTGGTAAAAGCTTTGTCCTTGTTTGCAACCTCCATGATGTGCCACTATGGTGAAGCTCCTCCAGTGTCTAACAGGCCTGAAATCTTTCTGCTGCAGAAGGCACTGGCAGGGTTTGTCCCTCTGTGAGACCTCTGGGCATGTAGTTAGCTTGGAAATACTGCCACTTCCCAAATTTGGATGAAGCTGGTCAGCGTGTTTGAGAGCTCTGCAGAGCTGTGAATGTATGTGTACACACAGCTTTATTGCACAAGCTTAATTTCTGTGGAAAACAGTCAAAAATATTTTTGACTCGCACTGAATAGAGAGTATTTTACTCTGAACGTTCTCTGAATGAGTGCTAACTCCTCTGGGTCAGAATTACTGTAAACATGCCTATCTGTCGGAGGGTGCCCAGCATTAAATTTTATGACTTAGCAGGCAGGTACATGCTGCTTCCTCTGCTCAGGGCTTTCAAGGGCTGTTTTGGCCATGACGGGATACCAAGTTCCACCTCCAGAACAGGACAGTCTAATGTGTACTGGTAGTCAGGTCTGTACAAGCATGATTCTATGATTTATGAAGGAACTTGCTAGTGTGGTATCAGTGCAACTTTCTCCTCTTAATATGGGTATCAATGGCCTTTATAGCACCTTATTTCTAACCTAGGTTAGACAGCTGAAATATGGCTGTACAGGGAAAAGAAAAAAGCCAGATTGTGTTTAGAATCGTAGAATTATAGAATCATTTAGATTGGAAAAGACCGTTAAGATCAAGTCTAACCATTAACCTAGGACTGCCAAGTCCACCGCTAAACTGTGTCCTTAAGCGTCACATCTACGCGTCTTTTAAATACCTCCAGGGGTGGTGACTCATCCACTACTCTGGGCAGCCTGTTCCAGTGCTTGACAACCCTTTTGGTGAAGAAAATTTTTCCTAATAAATAGGAGAATACAGGAAAATATATAGGTTTGTTATAATAGCATCTGTTCAAAGCGTTTCTGTTCGGTACGGAAGCACAGTGGTACTCTATGTAGAGACTGCCTGGATAGAGTAGATTAAAAGTTCTGCGCCAAGCTACTGGATGTTAGAATGTACCAATATGTTAGATTAAAAAATTATATATTCAGATTAAAAAGAAACACTAACTGTATTGGCTCTGTTGGACACTGCCAGAAGCGGAGCTGGAATTAGCCAAGTCTTCCCTACACGCCGTGTACTGTTTCTTGTTTTAACATCTGGAACAGTTTGGGAGGGTAGAGCGTCATAAGCAAATGTACATGAACAGGAACTTTCCAGAACCAAACCAATCTGAAGAAATATTTGCTTATGTTGAAAGTGTGGCGTTCTTCTCACTTCATCACTTATAGCATGATTGTTCAATGGCTTTTAAAAAGGAAGCCAGACCAGGAGCAAGTGTAAAAGGGAGAGCAGAGCTGTGCTATACAGAGAAGGGAGGGGTGATGATGTTGCTTCTCAGCGCCCAACCCCATGCTGTTCATCTGTCTCCCTTGTGTTTAAACATGTGGGGCAGGGAAGGGGAGGAAGAGGTCAAATATACTTCAAGAACCTCTGTCTAATCCTCTGGTCTTGTTCCCACCGCCTTTTCTTTGCTGCAGTATTGCATTTCCCTGTATTCCAACTTCTGCATTAGCGTTCTACTTCCTAGTGGGTTTTCCAGTAGTCTTGCATTTTCTTTTATTCCTTTCCAGACCCCTACTTTTATCAAGGAGGAAGCCAGATTTCTTCCCCCTAGCTAGCTGGCAAGGGGCAGCATGAGGGGAAGGAGTAGTAATTTTACCTGGCATGTTGAGGGATACATGATGTGTCTTAGAAGTGGGTCACAGCTCATCTCAGGCGTTTTCCTGTACTGAGGCAGGTACAGATATGTTACTTCTTGTAGAAAACCTGGAAGAAAATTTCAGTATATCCCCATATCCGTCACTGTCTGATATTTATTGAGAAAGTTGTGGTGAGGAGAAAACAAAAATGTATAGCAGGAGAGTTTCAAATGATGAACAAAGGGCACTGACAAAGGTGTGAGGTGAAAGCTCTATTCTATGCAGCCAAACTCCATGTGGTTTCTGGAAGAGCTTCTAATCTGTCACTTTTGTAAATTAAAAAGCTGCAGTAGGTTTTCTGCAATAGGGAAGGGCAGCTTTGCAGGCATAAATTGCTGTTCTTGCTGACGAAACCTCTTTTTAGCCAGAAAGAAAACCACAGGTGACCCAGCCCTCAGTATTGAGTACAGGGGGAAAAGAGAGGAGCAGAGAAATCCAGCCGAGCGATATTGGTTTTGCTGCAGCCTGATGTCCAGGCTGTTCTGCTGGAAACCTCTGAATCCCTAATATGGTTTTATAACATCATTGTGTCTTTTCTACTGATGTTGTTTGGAGCAGAGCTACAGTACAACTTCAGTGCCATCTAACCCATTTGCTTTAACCTGCCCCACACTTCACAAAGAAGGTTTTTTCTCCTGTGTTTTCTTTGGATTGAAGCATGGGATGTCTGGAAGGGTTATCAATTCCTCTTGGCTGCAGAAGGAAGTTTCTCTCTGAGCATTTCCCAATCTCACTGTTTTTTTGTTCAAAAACTAATAATGCAAAAAGCAAAAGTGGAGAAACACGTCTCAGTCATAGTTCTCATCACTGCTGATACAGTTCCACTTGCCCTGCCAGTTTTCTTTTTTCTCTTTTTTTTTTTTTTTTTTTTATTCAGTCAAAAGCAATAGACCTTCACTTCTTTTTCTCTCTTTACAAAGAAACTGAGGAATTGGAACTGTTTGTTGTGAATCTTTGGACAGAGAGGATTCGAGACAGTTCTGTATAGATTCTGGCTCAGTGTTGTCACTGAGCAGCAGGTCTGTTGAAAAGGACTTGGGGGTAACAGCGAATACTGAGATCTACATAGGGCAGTAGTACATGCTCATAGCAAATTAAGGCAAACCATGTATTGGGCTATGTTAGAAGGAGTGTGGCCATAGATCGAGAGAAGTTATTATGAGCATTGCTGGGGTCATAGCTGGAATACTCTATTCAGTTTTGGGCCTCCCAGTTCAAAAAAGATGCTGAGAAACCGAAAATCTAGCACAGGGCTAGTGACATTGTTAGGGAGCTAGAGCACATGGCCTGCTCCAAAGAGTGTTTGAAGGAGCTGGTCTTGTTGAGACTGGCAAAGTGGAGGCCAAGGTACAATCTAACAACTGCCTACATCTTCTTGAAAGGGAGTTACATTGATGACGGAGCCGAACTTTTCTAAGAAGTAGCAGATGGTATGGAACATATATTTCATGAATCATAAATTGCAGCTTTGGTGGTTTAAAAATGGGACATCAGGAAAAACTTCTTTGCTAGGAGAGTAGAGTTGCCCTGAGACAAGTTACCCAGAGAGGAGTGGAATCTCCATGCTGGGCAGTTTCTGACACCTGTGTTTTTGAGGCAGAGCCATAGAGGACTTGGTTAAATATTGGTGATAGTCATTTCTCAGGTGAGAGACTGTAATAGGTGACCCCAGAGATTTTTTTTTTAACTGATACTTATGCCTCAGTTATTCTACTTACCTGGAGTAAGTTTCATTATGAACAAACACACACAAGACTTATATTTATAATGTTCAGGCCATGTCATAAATTCTGTAGTAGCAAATTAATTTTTTTTTTTTTATAATCTTATTTTTTCAGTGTGGTGCTGTTGGCCTCTGCATCCCATCCAGCAGGTAAAGTGCATAGAGTTGTTCCTTTATTAGGTTTCCATATTGCCTTTCCTTTCCATGCATGTTTTTAGAGGCCAGGCTCTAGAGCCCTGGAATTCAACAGGAATACGACCAATAATATTATATCCTGTAGGAAGAGGAGAGGAGGGTATATAACACTGTGTAATTTGCATATTTGCTAATACCTTTCTTAGCTGCATTTTGCAAAGAAGCAGTGCGGGACAGACAACAAAGATAGGTTTTGGGGTGGTGCATGGTAAGGAATAATGATTCCCTAGGTGAACATGTCCTTTACAGAGCAGTCTCCCAGCAGTCCATACAGTTTTCTTCTCTACATTGCCCTCAGTGCTGTGCAGAGATTTAACTTTGTTGTTTTCATAAGTTATATCCCATCACTTGAGCCCATGGCAGGATTTGAAGTAGCAAAAGATCAAAAGGCTAACAATGGAGAAATTGAATATTTGGTGGTGGCTAATATTCCTATCATACTGATGTTTTAATAGTTAGAAGGTTAAAGATGATCGTTTGTTTCTTTCACTAGACATTTGCTCAGTCAGAAAACAAAGGAAGAAACATCTAAATAAACAAAAGTTCTCCCTTTTGCTTAGTGGTGCATATTGTGTATATAGGCATTTCCCCCCCAGGGTAGACACATCAAGCAAAATTGTCCTGCATTGCAAAAAAGGAAAGATGGAACTTCCTCCAAATCTGTAAAGCCTGAAGGCTGGAAAATTCCTGGGAATTGTTGCTAATAAGAGCAATCAGGGCCCAAGTTCCTGGAAGTATAAGTACTCAAGAGTTCTAGTTGGATCTGGGATAACTTTTTTAAACCTCCCAACTAGCTTTGTGTGACAGGGTTCAAATGCCAGAGAGGGAAGCAGCCAACATATGTCTCTGTTTCCTGTTTTCAGTAGGAACTGTCATGAGCTCTGTAATAAAATAAGTGGTTATGATGCATGTCTATCCACTGGCGACTGTTGCTTAAGCAGGATCCTCAGTATATGAGCAAAGAATACTGTCATGTACCCCTTTCCCCTTTTTCAACCAAAGGCAGGAACTGGTTAGAATCAAGGTCAGAGAGAAATCATTAAGCACACTAGAAATGTGGAAAGCATCCTAAATGAAAAGTCAGCCAGCTGTAAAGGCTTAAAGGAATGTTAAACTAGTAATGTTCATGTAATTGCTGTTCCCCTGCTTGTATCAGTGGGTAATATTTTCTCCCTGTGTTCCACTGAGTATATTGCTTTGTCCCTCAGGTGATCTCTTCAGTGCCTTGGACTTTCCATTCCTGTACTTCTACAGGTTTCATAGCAGCTGCTGCGCCAGGTAAATTCTCTATAACAGGACGTGTGAATGTTTTCACACTAAGAGATCCTATTTACTTCCAACCTTGACTCTCAGTTAAAAATTTCAGAGCATGCAAAACCTGAGTTATGCTAGTTTCTGCTGGCATAAGCCAGTAGAACTGCAGAGAACATGTATCTCTGCGTATCTGCGGATATGCATTTGAAGGCCTGAGATCCAAATGGGCTGGAAGTATATTTGTTTATTTGAGTGAGTGCATTCTGACCAAGGGAATTTCCAGTCACCAATGAAATAACTTTTACCTCATGTAGCAAAGCTTTGATACATAACATCTCTTAAATGCTTCTCAAGTGGGATTAGCCGTTGTAAAACTTGCTGTTTGCAGAGATTACAAAGTATTAGTCTTCAGCAGTATATGGGTGTACATGGATTTATTTGCCTGTACATCTTGTTATTTGGCAGAATGCTTTTTTGGGGTAAAAGGGAAAAGCGTTAACAAGCGTTCCTTTATTCTGAGTAGCAAAAGTTCACCGACCCATAGTGTAATTCTCACAGCACAATGTAAACATGATTCCTGTAGTTCTTAATTATCACCCAAAAAATAAAAAAAAAAAAAAAGTTATTTATTCCAGTCTTTTGCCAAATGGAAGTATTTTCTTTTTAGAGGGGAAAAATATTTTAATGCAAACTCATGGCAGAAATATTTCCTGATTGTTAGGGATTTTCTTGCTTGTACCAGGATTTTTCATTAAAAGTGGACATTAAAAATGATTGTTAAATAATTTCTCTATGTACACATCTTTTTGTACAAACATGGCTTTTTTCAAGGGTGGACTATCAACACTACAAATAACTTGCAGTTAGGTATTAATGAATAAATAGTTCCATGGTAGGTAGATGAAATCTATTTCCTCTTGAAGGTAAGGCTTAACTGCAGGCACTAATGGGTATCTCTCTAGCCCTGATATTTTTCTTTTTCACTTTGTTAGAGTTTTACCACTGTTGTAGCCTCCCACTTCTGTTTCCATTGCCCTGGCTTCAGTACATTTATAGTAGATAGCCCTGTGCACTATACCAAGTGGAAGGGAATAGTTAGACAGAGAAACAAACATCTCAGTTGCTTTCCTACATCTTGTAATGTAGTGTCTTCATAGACATAAAGGATTTGGAGGAAAACTTATACAGTGTATAGTAAGTGTAACTGATGCAGCTAAATCTACTGCTTGTGCAGAATGTCTAAAGCAGTAGTAAGGTGCAGAGTGTTCCGTTTATTTAATGAAATAAACTGGTGTTGTGACATCAATATTTCAGGTATTGCAATTAGCTGTTTCACCTTTTATCTTTGAATAACACTAAACAGCTTCATGTCATTCTGACTAAAAGCCCTTCTCAGCAGGCCAGAAGATGTGGAACAAACTTAAGCCAGTTAAAGGACTTTCAAAAGTTAGGGCAATGCTGTTTCATTGACTGCACAGGTTTCTGAGTGGAATGCTCTACTGCTCAGCACTTCATCCTCTGCAACAAGGAGGGTTTGAGTTTGAGCCTATCTTTTATCACCAAAGCAGCATCTCTTTTCTGGGCTTCAGGCACAGTGGGTAGTCTTTTGGGGTTTCATGTTATGGCTCAGGGTAAGAAACCCTAGTACCTCCTACTCCTGGGCAGTTGTCTTACCCTACTCTACTGATGTGGCTGAGACACAACTTTGCCACAGGTACTAAGCAGGGAACAGCACTTGGCTGAGTTGCTGGAGCCCAGCATGGAACTTCTGATCTGGGGAGCCACCATCTTCCACCCTTCCTGCTATTGCAGAGAGGGGACCAGCTGCATTGAGTCACTATCCAGAACTGCATAGCCTCTTGGAATACCAAGGCACTTTTTGCCCCACTACCTGTTGATCCTATCTCCTTTCTTACGCAACTTCCTACAGTACTTTGTAATCTCATTCCTCTCAACCAGCCACACAGTAATTTGTGCCTTACATATTTGAAGTCCTTTTCTATTCCCTGCTTGCTGGTTTACACTTTTTCACTGGTTCACAACCAGGGGGTTGTATGCCACAAGTGAACCGAAATCCAGAGCCAGATCTTGTAAACTCTGTGAGGTCCAGTGAGATGTGGAACAGTTTCCTTGAGAGTAGGCTTGGCTTCAGGAGCATTTGAGGACTACTGTCCTATATGGCTTGAGAATCAAAATTCCCTTAATCATCAGCAGAGAGCTTTGGGGTATTCTTTTCCCAGCACTACTGAGTCATCTGTCTATTTGTTATACAGTAGAGATGTATTTGACTTCCTAATTGGAATTAGGCTTCATGAAGTTTAAACAGCTTGAAACCTTCAGGCAGAAACTTTCCAGTGGTTATTTTTTTTCAGTTCAAGGCTCTGTGGAGGTTGAAGTGAGTTAGCTGCCAAACGTGTGGCTCCTGTTTAGATTAGTGTTGCCTTTATTCAGAGCCATTTCAATGCCTGAAGTTAATATTTCACCTCATGTTTCCAATAATCTCTACTTTTCTGATTATGCAAGTGCATTAGACACCAGCCATAAGAGTGTCAGACTTACTTTACTCAGACTCTAGTCACTGACTGAACAAAACCTGACGTGTACTGGACATACTGTAAGCTCTTTGTCCACCAGCTTGCTTTCTCCAAATGGGATTAACACTGCAGTTCTGCATTAGGAAAACCAAGATGCCTGTAAGAAGTTGCTTAGTTGAAATTAAGAGACATTATTAACAAGCTTTCCCCATCCCTTGCAGTGGTCTGTTGGGATTCTTTCTGATGTTGCACACAGTGAAGCTAAAAAGCAGCACAACCTCAGGGCAATATGCAGCATGGAATTTCCTTGCAAAGGTAAGAGAAAGACTGTCACAGGAACACAGTGCATCTGCACTTCTCCCAGGAGAACTGAGGAATTTCTGCATCTCTCTAGTTTCTGTTGCTATTCCTATTTGGCACTCCTAGTGCTTGTCTGTGCAACCTACAGGTAGAGTTGAGGCAACAAATATCAGGTACATAATAAGCCAGGATTGTTAGCTGAGATGAACTACTGTACATAGACTGAGGTTGATGGAACTGAGCTGATTACTGTAGCTAAGGTTCTGGTCTACGGAATCCCAGTAATACAAATCTATACTTTCCAAAGGTGTTTTGGAGAAAAATACTTCTGAGAGTGTGTGCACCAGCCATTGTTTCCGGTGTGTCTTCCCAGAGCCAAGAGTTAAAACTAGTTCCCTGAAGTTCAGTACCAGGACTTGCACTGTTACCATTGCAGGGGAGAGTGGTGGATGTCATTTGCCTTTACATTAGCAAGGCTTTTGGCAGTATCTCCCTCGATGTTCTTATATACAAATTAGACTGTTATAGACTACAGATGGGTAAAAAAGTGGTAGGATGATCAGGCTCAGAAGGTGGAGGTTAATGATTTCTACTCTAATTGGAGGCTTGTGACAATTAGAGTAGCGCAGGGATCTGTCTTGGGGCCTGTCTTGTTTAACATCTTTATTGAAGAATCAGAGGTGCTAGAGTGTACTCATGTTTGGAAGGGACACCAAACTGGGAGGACCAGGCAATAATACTGAAAGACAGGACTGTCTTTCAGAGGGACCTGGACAGGCTAGAGGAAGGGACCAGCAGAAATCTTACCAAATCAGCAAGGACAGATGTGAAGCACACAGGAAGGAAGAACAATAATACAGGCTGGAGACTGGATGGCTAGGAAACAGCTCTGCAGAAAAGGACTTGGGGATTTTGGTGGTCAGCAAGTCAAACATAAGCCAGCAGTGTGCCCTGGCAGCTAGGAAGGCCAAAAGTATCCTGGGTTATACTAAGTTTGCTTAGTTGTACTGCATAGGCAGTACATAGGCAGTAAATTCATGGAAGTGATCATGCTCCCCTACTCAGCACTTGTTAGACCACATCTGGAGTAGGGAGTCTTGTTTTAGGCACCTCAATACAGAAAGACATGGATAAACTGAAGCAAGTTTGGCATAGGGCTGCCAAAAAAGTCAGGAGGCTGGAGCATTTGCCTGATGAGGAGTGGCTGCCAGACCAGGCTTGTTCAGCCTGGAAGAGAGACAATTTTGGGAGCACCTAACAAACAATAGCCACCCAATAGCTATGGATAAATATCAAGAAGACAGATCCAGGAGGGGAGTGTGTAAGGTAACAAGCATAAGCTGAAACAAGAGAGGTTCAGATTGGGTGTAAGGAAAAGCTTCTTCACCCCAAGGACAAGTCAGGCAGGGCAGAGGTTGCCCAGGGAGGCTTCCGTCTTTGAAGGTTTTTAAGACCCAACTGGACAAAGCCCTGAGCAACCAGGAATTAAACTGTGATTTGTGGATTCAGGGTCTGGCTGTACTTAGGTTTCAGTCATTAATAGCTAGTTTATTAAATTGTCAGTGGTAAATGCAGTTAGAAGAGCTTGTCAGACTCCTTTCCCCTGGTTAGATTTACTCCTTTTCCCTGGTTAAATTTTACTTAATTTCACCACTCTCAGCTAGGTTATCTGAAAACCACAACCTTCCTATGTGGTTTGTGATCACAGCTCGCTTACTACAGTGGATAAAGCTGTTACCTTACCAGGAAAAAAAAAATAATGTAGGCTTGCATAATAATATGCTTGTTTAGAAACTGTAGTTAAATGAGTCTTTGATTTTTCTGGGGATAACAAGAAGAGAATGACATGGCTTGTTTCATGCTTTGCAAGCTGTTCCACACTATACAAGTCACATAGATTTTCTCACCAGTTTGAATTTCTTCCAAACATTCTGACTGTGCAGATTTTAGTTCCTTAGCTTTCTTCTTGCTCCTTGGTAGCAAGTCAACTGATCTAGAGCTTGCTTTTGCCTTTTTTTTTGAATCCTTTTTAGCGTTCTGGGTTGGAGATGGGAATAGCTGGCTCTGCTGGTAGGTGCTGTGCCTGAGGAAAAATGGTTCTACATGTGGTGTTTATGACCTATCTGAAAAAAATGCAGGCAAAGATGTGTTGTGAAATATATTTTAAGCAGATTTGGTCCTTCCCAGCTGAATTGGATCAGAACCACAAAGTCTGGACTGGATCAAAGTTTTCCCAAAGTTTCTAGATTTGTAAGGTTTTGGCCAACTCTAGGCTTTAGTTAGACAAAGTTGGTTCTAGCCACTGTTGTCAATGAAATTGCATGCCTTTATAGCAACTAAAAATTTGTCCCTGTGCCACTGTGATAATTTAATCTGTTCTTCAGCCTTGAAAGTTTGTTAATGTGTGTGGTTTAATTGTCTTGCTTGGGAAGGTTTTTTTTAACAGGACAGATTAGTCCTTTTCCTGTTGTCGCTTCTAACCCAGTGCTCAAATTGTATGTCTTGTCTTGAGTTTGAAGAGGGGAATAAGTAATAATGACATGAGATCTGTCTGTAGCACTAATAATTTTAGCAAAACTAGCAGTTTCCCTAATGTCTTTCACTTGCTATAAGAATGATTTTAGGGCTCAGTCACACCCATCTGAGGCAGGATGAGGAGCTCAGAGGAACTGCTGCTCCAAGTGCTGAAATGCAGCTGATTTGGCATTAGAAGCCAGTGAATGCTTGAAAAATTCTGAAACACTGTAGATCAGTTTTAGAGGAGGAATCAGAAGAGACTGCAGAGACAGACATGGATAGGCAGAGAGCAGGAGCTGAACTGGAGCTTGCCTGCAAGGGTGGGGGCTCATATACCAGCTCCTGCAAAATTGTCACAAGCTATCTTGTAACTATAAGGAGCTATAAATCTTCATATAGGGTAGTTAAGAAGAGTCCTATATCTGTCTGATCACTAATGCTGCTTCCTGCAGGTGTTTGGGAGTGTTAAAACTACATACTAATCTAGCTCAGCATTGCCTGGATACGAGGGCTGTCTCAATCACATCTTAAATCAACATACGTGCAGAAAAGCTGAATTTAACTAGCACTTTAACAGTCCATTTAAATCCAAGTCTGTGACTCCTTTTAAAAAAAATGAAGGAAGTTTAATGTGGATAAAGAATAAAGATAGAAAGTATTTGAATCTGGACTTGCAGAATGAGATCCAGTGGGAAAAAAAGCCTCCGGTCACAACAATGGCCTTGCGTTCCCACATGAGCATTTTTCTTGGATTGAGTAGTGCCCTAGATCATTCTCTTAATCTCTCAGACTGACTGGAGTTTTCACCAGCAGTTGGAAAGGAGCAGCATTTGAGGCCAGAATATGTTTATCTTGCAAATGAGCCAAGAAAGGAGAATGCTGTAGTCCTCAGACAGCAGCGCAGGCCTCTGGGGAGGTGCAGAGAATTAGAAAATCTGGTTTCCATTTGGATGCTTTGTACCTCTGTGACTGATGAGCTGGGGCTGAGATTGTTGCCACCACTTCATTCTCGTTAAGTGCCAATAGACCAATAAACTAGCCATGAGATCTGATCGGGCCTGCTTTGCAGATTCAAGAAGACATTCTTTCTGAAGTGCACATATTTGGCCTTCCTGCCCTCTAATTTTTCATTCACTTAAAAACTGGAGCTGGGTCATAACTTGTTTTTATGATACTTTGGCTGTAGCAACTTAATCAATGTATCAGGTTTTTAATTCTTCCCTGTAATGATTTCTGACAGCTTTCATGTCAAAACTTTGCTTTGTGCAGAGACAGACAAAACACAGGTTTCATCTGTGTATATAGTCCTGTGTGGTATTTATAATGACAAATGCTCTCTGCACTTTTGCTGTGAAAGCAAATAGTGTGTGTGGTAGTCATATCTGTATAGATTCATGAGAATTGCCCCAGAATCACTAAAGCAATCTCTAAAACAACAAGGACAAAAAATGTTTTTAAGAAGCCCAAGAAATACAGATTACTTTGTCGTAGCACAGATTTAATCCCCAGAAGAGCCAGGAGTTGAAGCTGTGCTGAGATTTCTTGCTTCAATTTGAAAGCTATGCTAGTATCATGGGTCATGTACTGGAAAGAAAAACTGGAGATGCTCATATATATATAGAAGTTAAGCAGCAGAAATAATTTAAATCATGAATAGAAGGGAAAAATGGTATTTCATAACTTTTCTTCAGCAACATACTAGTTACTTATGAATTAATGTTCCTGTATCATGTTTAGTGTTATCCCAGTAAACTTTATAGTAGGGAATTCAGCTTGTTTTCAATAGGAACCTATTGAGACAGTTTGTTATGAAGAAGAATAATAAATAGGAAGGTCAGTGGATGTTGTGTTCTCTTTTTCTTCCTCTTGTCTGAAGAAATGAAGTTTGATAACTGAAACCAAGTTTCATTGAGTTTTACACTGTTTTTCTTATGGTTGGAAGAAAATTCAGATTAATCTGATCAGGAACATGCAGCTCATATATGGCCATCCCATGCACTTTTATGAAACCTGTAATGTATCTGAACAATGTTGAAGGCTCCCTGATGCATAAAAGCATCCCCTGGCAGCTGCTTTGTTCCTTTGTTTGTTAACTTTAGAAGACTTTGCCTCAAGTCACCCTATGTTTAATGATGACTGCCAGATATTGTGAAAGTAATTTTGCAGGAACATCTGAAAGTGTATCTTATCCATGGGTTCCATGTACCTAACTGTAACCCACTGCACTTATACCCCAGCAGTTTTAGTCTTCCTCCGAAATATATAACAGCTATTCAGAATGCCTCCAGTAGTCTTTGATTTTATACTTTGTGTCTGTGTATCTGCTTCGTTGGTCCCCATGGTGTCTTGAAGAGTATGGATAGACTAGATCCATCTTCATGTCAGCATAAAAAAATGGATGATACGCCTCCTAAAGATTGGAAAAGTACTGATGGTTTTTGTTAAAGCGGAAATTGTCTTTTTCCTGCTTCTCATAAAATGGAGAGGCCACAACTGCG